TTTTAACATGATTTTTTGTAAATTACAAATACACTTTCTAAAATTTGTTTAAAATATGAATTGTCCCTATAATTTAGAAAATTATAACTATCCCCATTGTCAAAAATTTTAATTAATAGAATTAATTGAAAAAACGATTTTTTACTACTTTCTACACATTATTAAAATTACTTTAATTAGTAATTGAAATATATTTATGACATCATTAAATACTGTTAATTGACTTGATGGTTTATTAATAAAATGAGTTATTTGTTATGTAATTAAAAACTTTAAGGGGTGAGGTGTAATTTTTAGAATCACATAAAATAATTTGTATTTTAAGCAAATCTCAAATAGTGTATTTATAATGAAAAATTCTAATATACAACTCTTTAAAAATGGTGTATCATATGCACCCCAAGTTATATTATTTTTTTTCTTTAGTTATAACCAATTTTCTTGTTTAGTTATGATTCATAAATTATTTAGTTATGTTTTATATTGTGTTTAGTTATAACATTTTTTAAATTATGACTTAAAAAATTAAAATTATATTATTTTTTTAATTATACGATACATATAATACACATCTTTTAATGTTTCCCATTTATAATTTACCATATTTTTGTAAGGTTGCTGCTGACTGTTGGTTGGTTTTGGCTTTAACGTTTGTGAACACGGGTTAATAGAAAGGTGGAAAAGATGAATTTTCTGACCCTTTTCAAAAAGCAGTGTTGGAGCTATTACAAAAGTTATATTCTATAAAAATAAATTCAAAACAATTATTTATCAAAATGAAATAATGTTTTGAAATCCTACAATAACCCCACTTCAAAAATTAAAGTAAGAAACACAACTTTATTGAAGTCTTCACAAAACATCATCATTGAGTTTACAAAAATAAGTTGAAATTTAATTAATTTTGTGAATTTGTGTTTTAAAATGAGATAAATTTGATAAAATTAAATTAAAAAAAAAATAAAACAACTATTGGCTGATACAGTTATAAAAATGCATCCTGCTAAACTATAAAAAAAATAAAAAACAAACATAGGATTAATAATAATAATAATAATAATAATAATAATAATAATAATAATAATAATAATAATGAAGGTGACGCAGCAAAGCTGGCAATCCCAATCCTCCATTTATATTTTTTGATCAGCGATGCAAAGGATTCCCCAAAACTTACAGAGATACAATACAACAAAACAAAACCAACACAATGTTGACAAGGAATCAACAAAGCATTCAAAAGGAAAACACAAAAAACACTAGCAGCAAACAATTCCCAGCCACACTTATAACAGACCACTAAAGCCTGAACAAAACAAACAACTTAAAAAGATCTCAGTCAACAGAAATTCCTTGTAACAGCAACTGTCCTAACTCAAAGTAGCCATGACCCCATTCTGGACCACCTTCCAGAGCCTCCTAAGATTCACTTGTTCAGCAAAAATGAGTCGAGAAAAGGTTGTGGGTCTTGAACAATTTGAAACATTAATGAACATAGACAAACGAGAAAATAACTGACCTACAAGTTCAACTCTAATCACCACAAAAAAAAAAAAAAAAGCCTCGAAAATGCCACAATTCAGTACCAAAGCAACCACAATCCAAGCTTGGACCTTCCAAAGCCTCTCCCAATTAACACTTGTTGGCAAAGATGAGTCAAGAAAAGGATGTGGTACTTCCCCAAACCAAACCAGGAAGTCTAGAATCAACAATCAAAATTCAAAAGTCTAGAATCAATGATCAAAATTCAGACACCAATTCCACATCGGTCACAACCCATTCCTAGACCTTCTAGAGCCTCCCAAAGTGCACTTGTTCAACAAAGATGAGTCAAGAAAAAAGTTGCGGGAAACAAGCACCAATCATTGCTACCAATCTCACTATTAGCAAGAAAACAAGCACCCAGAAGAACTGCTACTAGCAACATCAATGGCAAAGAAGCCAAAAAAATACAAAATTGATACAAAGGATAAATCTGTAATATTTTAATAGATCCAAAGCATGTGAGACAAATTACTATAGAGCACCTAATTAGGATACTCAGGCATAAGTTTTTAAACATGCCTACCAAAACAGTGTTGTATTATTGGGACTAGAAAGGGAACCACTTCCTCATTCTAGGTATATCACAGGCTCTAGCACACATTTTGAAGCATGCCTAGCAAATGTTTCCTTGCAAACTGACCTTTTTGCTTTGTAGGGTGGAGATAACAGCTTCACGGGTTGGGGGCACGTGCCGTCACGGCACATTTCGGTGCTAGCTGCTAAGTTCACTGGTTGTTAAAAAAAAAAAAAAAGTACAAAATAAATAAATACATTGTGAGCCTTTTCTAAGACTTAAATAATATTTTGAGTAAATTAACAAATATACTCATTGAGATTTGTTTAAAATATGAATTATTTTTTATAGTTCTAGAAATTATAAATACTCCATCGACAAAAAAAAAATGTATTTACCAAATTAATAGAAAAAGTGAAATTCTTAATTACTTTCTTATATAATAATAAAATTATGAAAATTGGTATTTATGTCACATATTTTTTTTTAAAAAAAAAATACCCTAGAACGTAATAACTAATAAATTATGCATCTTGTCTGATAAATTATACATCTTGTGATTGTGGAAATTATACATCTTGCCCCTTCAATTTTTTAATTGTATAACAAATGGTATTTTTTATTAATAAATTATTAAATCAATTAATTGTTTTAATGATTTCCGAAATATATTTCAATTAATAATTTCCATAATTTTATTGTTATATAAGAAAGTAATTAAAAATTTCACTTTAATTTTGTTGAATACATTTGTTTGTTTATGGGAAGCAAGCATCTCTCTATTTTTCTACTCATTCTTATTTGGTTTGAATCTCTTTTATAAAAATTGAATTTTTTATTTTTCGTAATTTTTTGTTTTTGCTAATTTTTTTTTTATTTTTAGATATACCTAATGTAAATACAAAAAATTAATATATTTTCATATTTTTGTGTATTTATTGAAATTTTAAAATATTTTTTTACAAATATTTAATTTTTAAGTATATCACATTAGGTGCATCTAAAAAATAAAAATTTGTTTAAAATATTAAAAAATTCACTAAAAATAAAAATATAAAAAATAAAAAATTCAATCTTCAAAAAATTTGAGTAATTGAAACCAAACTTTTTGGGAAATTCTACAATACACACCCTTACCATATGTACTCATAAGTTATGTTATTATTATTTTTTTAGTTATGACTAATTTTCTTCTTCAGTTATGATTTTATTTAGTTATGATTTATAAGATATTTGATTATGTCTTATATGTTATTTGATTATGAATTTTTTTATTTATTTTCAATTATGACTCAAAAAATATAAAATTATATAATTTTTTTATTTAATAAGGTACATATCGTTCACATTTTCCCTCTTTTTATTACGTGCATATGTTCTTGCACACGGTTTCATAAAAGGAAAATATTTGAGACCCTTATTTTTGGGACTCTCACCATGTAGACTAATTATGTATTTATATTTTTATTTTATTTTAATTTTGGAACAATAGGATTATGGAGGTTATGTTTTTTTGGGAATCTCAACTCCTCAATTAATAAACCATGTAAGAATTAAAAAATAATGAATTATAAGTGCGATATTTTTGGTGTGGGTTCAATACTTTCCACTGTACAAATCTTAACTTAAGCAAAACTTATTTTAGGAAGTCGAAACAAGTTCTCATGTTATAGTTTAGGAGAGAAGGAGAATTTTCGTTAAAAAAAAAAAAGAAAAAAAGTGCAACACTTAAAAGTTTGGAAAATACCATGGTAGGCTCTTTGAGGATGAATATTGACTTTGTTTGGGAAAATGTTAAAAATTGGCTTTTTAGATTAAAATTTATAAAAAGATAAAATAGATTAAAATAGTTAGTAAGATAAAATATCATATCAAATTCATAATTATTTTACTCATTCTCTCACAAACATCACATCTAACTACAAAAAAATTTAATCATCTTTCCAAATATAAAATTTTTAACCTACTAAAATAGTTAACTTTCCAAACAAAGCCATTACATATACTTTATAATTATAAGATAAAATTGATAGAAAACTTTGCGGAACATAAGGTAAAAACCATTAAGGATTCAATTCTATACATAAAAACTATATGAATTTCTACTATACAACTTAAGTAAATACATACCTTGATCCATGATAGTATGAAATCCTCTTGCAAGAAAGAGAAACCTTGAATGGAAGACCTTGATCTTTAAGTTCTTGACTTGTCTAAGATCTTCAAACCACTTCTCTCTCTCTAGGCGATGGGAGCCTTTTGGTGGTGACAACTTGAGTTTTTGATGGAGAGTGTGATTTGGGACCTTACACTATTTATACTAGTATTCTTCCCATCAAAAAATTCATTCATTCAATGAATTTCATTAAATAGATTAATGTATCTTATACATTCATGATACATAATTCATCTTCTATATTAATGAATTCATTAGATAGATTAATATATCTTACAAATTCATAATAAATACATAATGCATTGTTATGTTTCCAGTAGAGTAGGACTTCAGTTGCAATAAATTAGTTGAATAAGTCTTTACTTGACATTAGGAGAATTTAAATTTCAAATTCAGGTTTATCAGCTGTTAGGTTGTTCCTATTTTGTTGGGTTGTTCCAAGTGTAGTGAGATAGTGGGTTTGTTCCTATTTTAGTGTGATATTGGCAGCTGAACTTTAGCAGAATGGTTCACTTTATTTTCTATATATTGTACTAATCTCAGTTGGAAATAATTATCTAGAATTTTATTCCACACTTGTGTGATATTGAAGGATTGGGTTTCCCTCGAAGCAAACCCCTTTTCTTTTTGATTTCCCTACTCCCAACTCTCTCCTAGTAACTTTGTTTTTGTTGTCTATCCTTTCTAGCAAAAATAGGTAAATAGAAGAACAAGAACATCAGCTTTGTTGCAGCCGCACATAACAGCTTGGTATCAGAGCTAGGCATGGAGGAGCAACAGTTGGGGCAATTGGAGACTGATGTCAACTCTTTAGCAACTGGGCATGAAAGAATGATGAAAGAGATCCAAGAGATCTTCGCAGCCATGAATACTAGGTTGGACCACATCATGACCAACCAAGTTCGTGACCCTGGAGAAAGTTCCCACAACCAAAATCAAAGTGTTAGAGGACCAGGACGAACCCTTGGAAGTGGAGGAACCAACCGCGAAGTACGTAGCAACTCTGCCCCTCAATATTTGCCCAAGACGGTGAAGCTTGATTTTCCATGCTTCAATGGAATCGAGGATCCGACAAGTTGGGTTTGCCGGGCTGAACAATTTTACGATTTTCATCAAACGCCTGAAGCTGATAGAGTGCCACTAGCATCCTTTAACCTTGAAGATGACGCCCAACTTTGGTACCAATTGTTGAAAGAAGAGACTGCGATCATATCGTGGGAAGACTTTAAACAAGGACTACTTAACAGATATGGGTCTACCCAGTTTCAAGACTTCTTTGGTGAGTTAACAAAGCTACAACAAACTGGTTCCGTAAGAGAATACCAAGCCCAGTTTGAGAAGTTGCTGGTTCGAGTACGGAGGTTGACACCATCGCATCAAGTTGGTTGTTTCATAAGCGGGCTGAAGGAAAGTATCAAGGTTGACGTCCAAGCTAGTCGACCTGCCACAATCTCTGCTGCTATTGGATTAGCAAGGCTATATGAGGCGCGCTGTTACTCCAATCGTCGGACTGTTCAACCGGAGGCACGCAAAACAATTCCTAATCGTTCTTCAATTCCTAACTCAAGTCCCTTGCGTATCAAAAGACTTAGTCCCGCTGAACTCCATGATAGAAGAAGCAAAGGTTTATGTTTCAATTGCAATGAAAAGTTCAGCCCAGTACATCGGTGTAAAAAATTATTTCTCATTGAAGGGAGTTGGTCAGATGAGGAGGATGATGATGTAGACATGGAGGTGATAGAACTCAAGGAAAATGAAGAAACTCTAGGAATTTCGCTTCATGCTATCTATGGTGCACGAGCTCCACAAACCATGAAGGTGCGAGGTCAGATTGGCCAACATCAAATAACACTTTTGATTGATTCAGGAAGTACTCATAATTTTTTGAATAGTAAGGTTGCCCGTAAGCTTGGTGTTTCACCTAACTCGACGGGAAGATTTGAAGTTGTCGTCGCCAACGGAGAAAAGATTAGCAGCTCTGGCCATTGTAAGGGAATTTGCACAATTATTCAAGGAGTTCGTATTACAGCAGATTACTTCTTGCTTCCATTAGAAGGGTGTGATGCTGTTCTTGGTGCCCAATGGTTGAGTACGTTGGGACCTATTATTTGGGATTTCTCTAAGCTGCAAATGAAGTTTTGTCATGAGGGAAAAGAGGTGGTGTTTACTAGCTTAGCTGCTCCAGAAAACAAGGTTGTGGGTGAAAAGGAAATTACCAAGGAATTTAGAAAAAAGAAGACAGGGGCTCTATTGCAGATTTATTCTCTCTCAGTGCAGACCACACAAGGTAATCTCTCAGCACACTTGGATTTGGAATTAAATACACTAGAGTTGCAGCAAATTTTGAGCTATTATCAGGATGTGTTCAAGGAGCCCCATGGATTGCCTCCTCCTAGGACCCATGATCACAAAATTCCCTTAAAGCAAGGAAGCGAAGCAGTTAGCATGAGACCATATAGATACCCTCATTATCAAAAAAATGAGATTGAAAAATTGGTGGCTGAAATGCTGAACTCTGGGGTGATCTGACTGAGTCAAAGTCCTTACTCTTCCCCAGTACTGTTGGTAAAGAAACATGATGGGTCTTGGAGGCTCTGTGTTGATTACAGAGGCTTGAACCGGATTACCATTAAAGATAAATTCCCTATACCAGTCATTGATGAATTGCTAGATGAACTCCATGGAACAAAATTTTTTACCAAGTTAGATCTACGATCTGGTTACCACCAAATAAGGGTGCATCCTGAAGACATCACTAAGACAACATTTCGAACACATCAAGGACATTATGAGTTCCTCGTGATGCCCTTCGGCCTTACCAACGCCCCCTCTACCTTTCAATCCTTGATGAATGAAATATTCAAGATCCACCTCCGTAAGTTCATCCTTGTATTTTTTGATGATAATCTAATTTACAGTAAATCATGGGATGAGCACATGAAGCATCTTGGTGTTACCTTAAATATTTTGAAGACTAACCAGTTATTTGTGAAAAAAGAGAAATGCACATTTGTTCAACAGGAAGTCAAATACTTGGGCCATGTAATAACCACTGAAGGTGTAGCTGCAGACCCTGAAAAAATTACTGCTATGCAAGAATGGCCTAAGCCAAAAACGATTAAGGCATTAAGGGGTTTCCTTGGATTGACTGGGGATTACAGGAAGTTTATTGAACACTACGGTAGGATTGCTAGACCTCTAACTCAGATGCTAAAAAAGGGGTGCTTTGAATGGAATTCCATGGCAGAAGAATCCTTCGAAGAACTAAAGAAAGCAATGACCCGAGCACCGGTGTTGGCCCTTCCAGATTTCAACCATCCGTTTATAATCGAATGTGATGCATCGAGATTTGGAATTGGAGGGGTTCTCATGCAAAATAAGAGACCTATTGCATTTTTCAGCCGTGCTTTGCAAGGTAAAAATTTACTTTTATCTACCTATGAAAAAGAGATGTTGGCACTAATTCTTGCAGTGCAAAAGTGGAGGCCATATTTATTGGGAAGGAAGTTCATTGTTCGAACGGATCAACGTAGTCTCAAGCATTTATGGGAACAAAAGATCACCACTATAGCCCAAGAGAAGTGGTTAGTGAAATTGATGGGGCTTGACTTTTCCATCGAATATAAAAAGGGGAATGAGAATTGTGTGGCTGATGCACTCTCACGTAGAGACGAGGCAGGCCAATTACTTGCTTTGTCGGCGCCGATCCCTAAATGGATGGAGTCAATAAAAGAAGAGGTCGGTAATCACCCTAGCTTGCAACGATTAGTTAAGCTATGCAAACAAGGAGAAGCTATCGGGCCATGGGACTACAAAGAAGGTATCCTTTACTTCAAGAATAAGATTTATTTAGTGGTTGATTCTGTTTTGATTCCTCTTATTGTTAAGGAGATGCATTCCAGTACTCATGAAGGGTTTCACAAAACTTTGCAAAGAGTAATGTCTGTTTTTTATTAGCAAGGCATGAGAAATTTTCTACGAGAGCATATCCGGAGTTGTGAAACTTGCCAAAGGAACAAGGGAGAGAATCTCAAGCCCACTGGATTCTTACAGGTATATCAATGGACTTTGTGGAAGGTCTGCCTAACTCAAAGGGGAAGTGTGTTATTTTTGTGGTAGTGGATCGGCTCTCCAAATTTGCATACTTTATTCCCCTCTCTCATCCGTACTCTGCTACCTGTAGACACCCCATTTTTGACCGTCCTCAAGACTTGGACGTCACCGTTTGAACACTCGGTGATCATCCATGTTTGTGTTCGTTTGGAGTTCCCGGAGGTCTCGGCTTGCGCGCCTTGCCTCAGGATCTCCGAACTTGATTGTTTAGTGTCTGGTTTTGTACCAAACACTTGTGTTTTGCCTTGGAGGGGCAGGGAATGCCTTGTGAGGCATCCCCACACACCACCGGCAGTGGCTAGAGGCCACCGGCTGGTTTTTGATGCCATCGGCAATTTATATTGCCGGTCGGCACTGTTTGTTGCCGGTCGGCACTCTTTTTTGCCAAAATGGCATTTTTGGCTGGCCGACTACTGTGTATCTGCTTTTGCAGATATTTTAAGACAGCTGTCTTGCTTTTGGTTCCCCTCCATACACGTGTATGGAGGGATCTCTCTCTTGGAAGCTTGTCTTGTAAGCTTTACAAGACAATATGCCTCTATAAAGAGAAGCCTTGTCTCTTGGCTTTAGGGTTAGAGACTTGAGATATTTTAGAGAGTTTAGACAGCCATTCTTAGGGTTTTGAGTTCTAGGGTTAGAAACCATACACTTTCTATCTCTCTTTTTACCCTTGTGTGTGTTAAATTGTGTTTTAGTCCATACTATTGCACACAAACACATAGTGTTTCACCTTCCTTTGCCTCCTGAGGTTCTAAGGGGCTGATTTTGGTGTTTTGGTGTTGGATTCAAGCTAAGGAGGGCCATTGGAGCACCATTGTTGAAGAGGTCTTCAAGGGTAAGAATCTTACCCCTTTTTACCCCATTTTTGCATCTTGTCTTTACCTATCTTAAATTCGTTTTTGATCTTGGTGTATAATACAAAAAAGTTCTGTTTTTTAGTCCTCTTGATTGTTTATTCAGAGTGTTTTTTGGTTTGGGGGTGTTTGACCCCTCTTAGGCCTTGAAAGGCCTCATTTTGAGCCATTTTGAGAAAGTTTCGAGACTTTGGTGTTTGGGCCTCTTCACCACTGAAATCTTGAGGGATTTCAGTGGTGGAAATGGTGCCTTGAAGTCTCCAAAAGGAGAGGGCCATCCCCTCTCCTTGTTGTCCTTGAAATGGACCCCTTTTGGCCTCTTGAGAGAGTATCATGTTAAAGTGTGTATTGACCATGTCTTGGCTGCTTTCCATGCTTAATATGTCATAATATGCCTCTGTTTTTACTTGGTTTTGGTACACCATGCATGCTTAGCATACATACCATGTAATGCCATGTTATTGCCTCAATGTTCCTTAGGTTGTTAGCCCTTGTTAGAGCATGTTTTAGGCTTAGTCTTGTGAAGATTTTGTGCATATTTTGCCATGTTTTAGGTCTGTCCTAGGTTGTTTGGGTTGGATTTGGCATGCATCATATAGCCCCTTTGCATTTTGGCTTGTTGGCCTTAAGTGTGCGCATGTATAGCATGACATTTTTGCATTGATTTGGTGATTTGGAACCACCTACCATGCTATTTCAGTCCTATTTGCATGCCTATATGTTCACCTTGGATGCATCTTTAATGCTTTGAAAGCTTGTCTTGCATGCTCCTTGTTTTGGTGGTTATGCATGGTTATTGCTTCAATGTGCCTTAGGTTGTTAGCCCTTGTTAGAGCATGTTTTAGGCTTAGTCTTGTGAAGATTTTGTGCATATTTTGCCATGTTTTAGGTCTTTCCTAGGTTGTTTGGGTTGGATTTGGCATGCTTAGTATAGCCCATTTGCATTCCGGCTTGTTGGCCTTAAGTATGGGAATGTATAGCATGACATTTTTGCATTGATTTGGTGATTTGGAACCATCCACCATGTCATTTCAGTCCCATTTGCATGCCTATATGTTCACCTTGGACGCATCTTTAATGCTTTGGAAGCTTGTGTAGTATGCTCCATGTTTTGGCCATTGCATATGCTTTTGATTTTGAGTCATTTAGATGCCATCTAGGGGGTCCCCTTTGCATGGTCTAGGTCTGCCTTGAACCTATTCTAAGCCCCCTTAGCCTTGTGAGGCTTGGTTGGCCTGGTCATGGTTCAAGCCCCTTTGACTTGCTTCAAGTACTTGGACCATTTGCATGCTAATGTTTAGCCTATCTTGTTGCTTGGTTTGACATCATCCTAACACGATTTACAATGCTTACTTTGCATGCCATTAGTCCACATTATGCCTCTTTCAATTGTGTTTGAGAGTTGCCTCATTTGTGCTTAAGTGTTGGCTCTCAATTATGTGCATGTGTGTATGTATTTGGTCCCTCATATTATAGCACTTTGGCCCTTGTTTTAGGCCTAATTAGAGCTGCCTAAATCATGTATAAGTCCATATTTTCATCGATTTGTATTGCCACATGTATGCTTGTATGCTTGCATAAGTACCTTTGCCATGCCACGTTGCATCCTTAGCTTGCACGCTTAGGTTACCTTGCATCTTTTCTTAATTGTTGGCTCTCAATTATGTGCATGTGTGTATGTATTTGGTCCCTCATATTATAGCACTTTGGCCCTTGTTTTAGGCCTAATTAGAGCTGCCTAAATCATGTATAAGTCCATCTTTTCATCGGTTTGTATTGCCACATGTATGCTTGTATGCTCGCATAAGTACCTTTGCCATGCCACGTTGCATCCTTAGCTTGCATGCTTAGGTTACCTTGCATCTTGCATGCATGCCTTGTTCCTTGACTTGGTGATAGGAATTGGGCCTTGATTTGTGTGTTTGGTTTGCATTTCATTTGACATGAAAGTTGCATACTTGACTCCTTGGGCCATCATGCATGGAAATGCGTGATTGGTGGTCCGAGAATCGAGACACATGCCCTTTTGAGTCACAAACATGATAGGGGACATGATTGGTGCATATATGCCTTGAATGGTGCTGCCATGCTTTGCTTTGCCCTCTGTTGCTGTCAATTGCAGATTCTACAGGAACACTCTACCGACCGGCAGTATGTATTGCCGACCGGAAATTCCTTCTCTGCCGATAGCTTCACCAATGGCCGGTGGCTACATCCCACTGCCGGTGGCAATTTCATTCAGCCGATGGTATTCCCCAATGTCCAAGGAAGCAGTCCTGAGGTTTTGGCAGCCTCCAGAGGAGTAAAGGAAGGAAAACAAAGGCAGCTTATGCATGGCGGTGCACTTCCGAGCAAGACCCGAGCACGCGCTGCATCTGGCCCTCCTCCCGGGGCGGTTTATCTGTTTTCCTAGCATAATTAGTTTATTAATTAATTAGGCAATTTGTAATATTTAATTAGCTTGCGTAGTTAATTAATTTGTATTATTTATTTGGTCCCTCTGAGCGAAGGCGAATTTTGTAATAAGCGTGTGTGTGAGTGATGCATGTCTTCCAACCACAC